CTTTAAGAAGTATTGACACACAATTTTTCATTTAAAATAAAATCCGAATAATGGTACTAGAAAGCTATAAAATAGAATGCATTTGTTTCTAAAATGCTCTATATATATACCATAGTGATACTACAATGTAAAATTGAACATAATTATAGTCCCTTAAAGTTACTAATATAAGCACGGTATAATATGTCACATTTTTTCAGTCATCTTTAATTTTGACGTGCGCGCACACACACATATATGTCATTACACATATATGTCATTCAAACAAAACAATGTTAGATTTTTTGCTTTATCTTTTCTATTCTCTTAAAAAACATATATTTTGAAACGTTAAAAAATATATTATCAATTTTTGTAAGTAGTTAATGGCTTATTGGAATCCGGGTATGGAGAGGAATGAGTATTTCTACTGAATGAGAGTAGAATGTATAAATGTATGTTTACTAGCGAGATTTTCAAGAATCAACAACCCTTTCCACAATCTGGAAAGAAAAAATTGTTTGTACACACTTTTGTGTACACTTTATACACAAGTCCATAAGACGACTATTTTTATATGTGAATAACCTTACAGAAACGGAACAACAGTCATCTATTATTCTCATAGGCGTGTATAGAAAGTGTGTACAAAAAAATGTGTACAAGAAGAATTGTTGATCCAGAAAAGGGTACACATGTATAGAAAATCTGTGTGTGACCTTCACTGTCTTGATGGTTGCATCGATGTGCCACAGGATGAAATTAGTACTCCTTACTACGTACTAGATTTTTCTGGTATACGTCCCTCTATTAAAATTTACAAAGTATTTGTAAAATTGGGCTATGTTTACATGTTGTTTAATATATTTGCCCTTAGTAATTAAAATAGGGGCTTTAGGAATAAAAAAGATTATCAGTACTATTCTAAATTACCACTTTAGTAAAATGTAAATTTACTGGACTTAAGGAGCATAAAACTATGAAAGTTGGATTAGCACCAGGGATAGAAAGAGTAAAGCAAAGAAGAAACAAACAAAGTCCAAGTCAATATATGCGTATTTATTTAAAGAAAAAAGAAAAAATAATTTAAAAATAGGGTAAAGGAAAAGAATAAGAAAAAGAAACTTCATCTCTTTCTTTCTTTCTCTCATCACAACAACCGACTACGGCTCGCCCGCATAATGAAACCATGACGGCCTTGTCAGAGCATCCATCTCAGCCGGCGCCTCCGCCTCAGAAGCCGCCGCAGAAGGAGCGGATACTAGTAGTTGGGGTCATCAATGCCCGGGATTTACCACCCAAGGACGGCGCAGGCAGTTCCAGCCCAAAAGTAGTAGTCAGTTTTGGGGAAGAGACGAAGTCCACTAAAACCATCCCCAAAAACTTGAATCCTGACTGGGATGAGGAGCTTAAATTCCATGTACCGGATCCCAGCAAGATGGAAACCACGAAGCTTTGGATTCGGGTGTACAGTGATATGAATTTCATGAACGGGAATGCGACGAAAGATTGGCTTATAGGGACGGTCGAACTAACAGGGAGGGAAGCCAAGATGAAAAAAGATAAGGTAATTGTATGTCATCCTCTGGTAAAGAAGAATATGATCTTAACTCGAAGACGTGGCGACATCGGTTTAATGATTTATCACTATGATGAGGAGCCTGCCGAGGCGGAGGAGCCACCGCAGGAGATGCCGAAAGAGGAAATGAGGAATTTTCCGCCGCCGCCGGGCCGAGAAGAGATACGGCCTAGGGTGATCGAGATCCCTGCTCCGGATTATTCGGACATCGCTATGGATGCGCGAGAACAGTCTCCTCCGATTGTCACCATCCACGAGTCTCCTCGTGTAGTGAATGATCCGCCGCCGCCTGAGCAGCAGCATTATGGCCATCCGGTATACGAAGCGGTTCCGCCAGGGATGGATATGCCTCTGCCGCAGTTCGATTACATTCCTCCGGAAGTGAAGAAGATGCAGTCAGGGGGGGTCAGGGAGGAGACAATCAGGGTATCGAGAAGGCAGAAAGAGGGAGAGTATTCGCCGAAAGCGATTCCGAGCAAACCGGCTGAAAAATCGGAGAAAATTTCGTCGTTCGATCTGGTTGAGCAGATGCAGTACTTGTTCGTGAAAATCGTCAAAGCTCGCGGAATCGCTCCTAGCGAGAGCCCCTTCGCTAAGATCAGAACATCCGCCGGTAATGTCATTTCCAAACCGGCGATGTTCCGACCGGGTCCGCCTGGGGAACCTCCGACCAACCCCGAATGGAATCAGGTATTCGCACTCGGCTACAACAAGCAGCAATCGTCAAGTTCCACCCTCGAGATCTCAATATGGGACGGCGCTTCGAGGCAGTTTCTCGGCGGCGTTTGTTTCGACCTCTCCGACGTTCCAGTCCGTGACCCGCCGGACAGTCCATTAGCTCCACAGTGGTACCATCTCGAAGGCGGTGGTTCCGATGAACAGCACATGGTTTCCGGTGACATTCAGCTTTCCGTTTGGATCGGAACTCAAGCAGACGAAGCATTTCCTGAATCCTTGAGTTCCAATGAGCCACCGGTGGCCCATACGCGGCCGAAAGTTTACCAATCTCCGAAACTATGGTACTTCAGAGTGACGGTAATCGAAGCTGAGGACCTCCTCATAACTCCCAACCTCCCGCCGTTGACCACGCCGGATGTCCGGGTCAAAGCTCAAATAGGGTTCCAGTCCATACGGAGTCGCCGTGGCTCAATGAATGCCCACACTTCAGCGTTCCACTGGAACGAGGACATCGTCTTCGTCGCCGGCGAGCCATTAGAAGACAGCCTCATCTTGCTCGTGGAGGACAGGACGGGGATAGATCCCATGCTTCTCGGGCACATCGTAATTCCAGTGGGGTCAGTTGCGCAACGACTGGATGAACGCCTCGTGCCAGCTAAGTGGTACGAATTGGAAGGCATGGATGGGCCCGGCGGGCCGTATCGTGGCAGGTTACAATTAAGGGCGTGTCTGGAAGGGGGGTATCACGTGCTGGATGAAGCTGCTCACGTGTGCAGTGATTTCAGGCCCACGGCTAAGCAGCTATGGAAGCCACCCATTGGGATTTTGGAGCTGGGAATTCTTGGAGCTCGCGGGTTGGTGCCCTTGAAATCCAAGGGTCCGGGTAAAGGATCCACAGATGCCTATTGTGTGGCCAAGTATGGGAAGAAATGGGTCCGCACCCGTACCATAATGGATAGCTTCGACCCGCGGTGGAACGAACAGTACACGTGGCAAGTCTACGACCCATGTACAGTTCTAGCCATTGGCGTCTTTGACAACTGGCGTATGTTCGCCAGGGAAGGCGATGACATTGCTGATTTCAAGGTCGGGAAAATACACATTCGGGTATCCACATTGGAGAACAACAAGGTATACACCAGTTCTTACCCTTTGCTGGTTCTCTCACGGACCGGGTTGAAGAAAATGGGCGAAATCGAATTGGCTGTCCGGTTCTGTTCCCCTTCAGTGTTGCCGGATACGTGTGCAGTTTACGGGCAGCCATTATTGCCACGCATGCACTATCTCCGCCCATTAGGGGTGGCTCAACAAGAGGCTCTACGCAGGGCGGCCATTAAAATACTGGCCGCTTGGTTGGCCCGGTCAGAACCACCATTGGGAAGCGAGGTGGTCCGGTACATGTTGGATGCGGACTCCCATAACTGGAGCATGCGGAAGAGCAAGGCTAATTGGTTCCGGATAGTGGCAGTGTTATCATGGGTTGTCGGATTCGCTAGATGGTTAAACGATATCCGCGGGTGGAGGAACCCGGTCACAACGGTTTTGGTTCATATTCTCTACTTGGTTCTCGTATGGTACCCGGATATGATTGCCCCCACCGGACTTCTATACGTGTTGTTGATCGGAGTATGGTATTATCGTTTCCGTCCCCAAATACCCGCATGTAAGGATACTCGGCTCTCCCAAGCCCAGAACGTCGACCCGGATGAATTGGATGAGGAGTTTGATACCATACCCAGTTCAAGGCCTTCAGAAGTGGTGCGGGTGCGGTATGACCGGCTGAGGATATTGGCAGCAAGAGTGCAAACTGTATTGGGTGATTTTGCAACACAGGGGGAGAGGCTGCAAGCGCTCGTTAGCTGGAGAGACCCGGCAGCTACGAAAATGTTCATTGTGGTAGGACTAGTGGTTACAATAGTGCTGTATTCAGTTCCTGCGAAGATGGTCGCGGTGGCATTAGGGTTCTACTACCTCCGCCACCCTATGTTCAGGCATCCAGTGCCACCTGCTACCCTGAATTTCTTTAGAAGGCTTCCAAGCTTGTCTGATCGTTTGATGTAGTAGAATATACCACTAGCAGTGCATATAGGATTCCCAAGAAAAATTGATGGATATATTAGAGTGACCACAATTTTTTTTGCTGCAGATTTGGAAGGGAAAGAAAGTGGAAATGTGTTCCCGCAATGTTGAAAAGGATGTTTTTTCATTGTTTTTATTTTAAAGCAAAAATAAAACCGGAAGAAGTGGGAAACAGCAATGGGATGAGAAAATTGAAGACAATTCACTAGATTCTTAGAAGTTAGAATAAGATTGAGCAGCAGAGAATGTTGCCCTGGATTTAAGGGAAGATTTGAAATGACATGATTTTATAATTCTGTGGTCAAAAGTATCGACATCATTGATGTTTCATTCTTTCAGTTTTTTCCTTTACAGTGTAACTATGAGCATTCCTCTATTATTTCTTTATTGTCTCTGCCTCTCAACGTACCGTCCGGTCGAAATTGAGAGCCCTCAGGGATGGGGTGTCATCCTTTTTTTTCTTTATGGTCTCCGGTTTAATGCAAAAACCTACTCGTTGACATTAGCTTTGTTTAACTAGAATTGCATAATCAGGTTAGGGGATGGGAATGAATTTACCTACATGCCCTTGAGAAATTACACATCTAAATTAATTAAGGGTAAGCAGATAAATTTACTCCCAATTCATTCCTTAACCCAATGTCTGCACGTAGCTTTATTCTTTTGACCGACTTTATGCAGCAAATTAGCAACACACTTTTTGACAATTTGATATCAAGCAATCAAAGGGCAAGTTTAAAAAGGCTATGAACAAATCACAAAATAATATATGCCGAGTACAAGGCAATAACATAGTCCAGTGTATAAACATTCAGCAATCTTGACAAGATCAAACTTTCAATAATGTGTTCACACTAGTAAAATAAGAACTGGGACATAATAAAAGATCGGGGGTGTATTAACAATAGTCAGGTAAGTTGAGTATTATTTACTCTACAGTTAATGATGGTGCTCGGAGTGGGAAGCCTGGAGAAGCCCATCGCGGATCTGACTAGCCACGTCGCGAACAGCTCCAGGACCATGAGGGATGAAGACAGTGGATGATTTGTTGGAAGCACCGATTTCCTTCATCGTGTCAAAGTACTGGGTAACTAGAACCATGTCCATTACATCTTTGGCTGTGGTTCCCGGAACATTGACAGAGAACCCAATTACACTGTCTCTAAGCCCATCAACTATGGCTTGTCGTTGGCGTGCAATACCTAGCCCTGCAAGGTACTTGGCCTCAGCCTCACCCTCCGCCCTCTTAATTTGCAAAATCTTTTCGGCCTCTGCTTTCTCATTAGCAGCAAGCCGTAGCCTAGCAGCTGCAAAGAGTTCAAAGATAGTCAAACAATATTTGGCAACGTAATTTCATTTATTTATTTATTTATTTATTTATTTATTACCTCTTGCGTCCCGCAAAATAGTTCACGGTTTCCTTTTTGGGCCGTCCCAAAAAATAGTTCTGATTTCCCTTTTTGGAAAGTTTTGTGTGCCTACCATTCATTTACCTTTTTCTTACTCAACCACAATCATACATTTCCACTTTATTCTCAATTTCTTAAATGGGACGTAGGGAGTATTATTATTACTGCACTCCCACTCACTATCAGTCCATCCCCATAACAGTGTCTTAGTTCCACTGAGGTACAACTGTTTCATTTAGCAAGGTTCAATTATTGGAATTCATAAATTCTAGAGATTTTTAATATTTATCTGTACCTACAATAAAAAATTATGTGTTGGTTTAACTACACTTAACATACTTAAACTGTTTGGAGAAGTTTTTTTAATTACAAGAAACTAGATTTAAAGAAAAAACAGAAATAAGCTTCATTTCCTGTTCAAATTGGACTCTTTTTTGTTTTGGACTGAGGGCTTATTATATATGCCTAACTCAAGGTTGCACAAATATTTTCCCATATGGAATGAGAAAAGAAGAGAATATATAATTCCATAAACGCACACCTTTGTGCACCCATTATACTCCACAAAAAGAGTCAAGTTTATAAATGCTAATACTATTAGTTTTAAAAACATGACTCTTCTGGGATGGGGGAGCAGAGCTATTCGTTTTACCAAGTACTAAGAAAGTGCTTCCAATTTTCTTGGCATGGGAACTTAAGAGTGTGTCTGGATCCCAAAAAAATGTTACAGGAAGGGAAAAGATGCTACGTGATGTTATTTTCTTGTGATTGGTTTTAGCTCGAAACTTAAAAAGGAAGTCAAATATGATTAATCTCTTTAAATATTTTACATCGCTTAACTTCATACTCTATTTTCTTTCTTCCGCATTTTACGTATTCCAAAAAGGCCCTAAAGATTATTCTGAAACTTATGTTTGCAACCATGCAATCTAGTATAAAGATATACATGATAAATCAACATGGCAGCCCCACAACTACAAAACAGGTTCAAGCACAAAATCAAATAGGAAAACAAAAAAAAAATATAGCAATTACAGATTACCAGCATTGATCTCATTCATAGCTCTCTTAACATGCTCATCTGGTTCTATATCAACAATCAGTGTCTGAACAATCTCATAGCCATAAGCAGACATGGCCTGTGAACAAAGCAAGAATTTATATGATAGGATCTAACAAACAGATTTGATCAGGACTAAAACATTCTATAAGCTATAATTATTTACTAACCTTCTCAAGCTCATCTTCAACAGCCTTGGCAATATCATTTTTTTGCTCAAAAACATCATCAAGATTGAGCTTGGGAACACTGGCTCTGATTACTGGATAAATTAAGAACGCAAGTTCATTTCAAGTAAAAGATCATTTAAGACTTGAGACAATATAAATGACAAATGGGATTTCATAAAAAAATATTTAGCATGTGTATGTACCATCGAAAACATATGCCTGAATTTGACCCTTAGTGTTGGTCAATTTGTAAAAAGCATCATTTGCCTTTCCAGAAAGGGCTCGGTACTGGATTGATGCTACTACATTCACAAACACATTATCCTGCAAACTCATCATAAATGTATAAAATTAATGCCTATGATGAAACGGTGTAATAAATACCTAAGCATTGAAAGTTATTAAAATTGCCAGAAACCAAATGACTCCTATTGGTGTTATTGCAAATTTGGAGTTAAATATAACAAACGAAAATGAAATAAATATCGGGCAACTTAGTCAATTTAACTATATTCACTTGGTTAGCCAAAAGGACAGTTGTTTGTGTACCAAATTCCTTAAGTAGTTAAAGGGCAACTATTTGAGAATCGGAGTACATCTTTAGTGGTTCATGAGTAACAGCACTGAAAAACTTAGGGAGGGGCTAGAAATAAGACACTTCCTTCTAGTGTGAGACTAGAAAGTGGACTATGAAAGTATAGTTATCATTGCGGGGACAGGAACAAACCTTTGACTTGGTCTCACAGCGGACATCCAATTGCTGCACACGGAGTGAGAGATGACCGGCAAGCTGGCTTCCAAGAAACCAAGGCACCCAGTGGCATCCTGGCTCTAGCACGTCCTCATACTTGCCAAACCGTTCCTTAATCGCTACAGTGGATTGATCAACTTGGACACAGCATAATAGATTCCCCATCTTCTTTATATATGGCCCAGAAGAAGAAATGTCAACATAGAGGAAACATCAGACTAACAAGGACACACACTTTCCTTATAACAAATTTCATTTTCCGATTTCAAATTGCTATATGACTTTCTTATAGTAGAAACGAATAAGTGAATAACGCTTTAGTATAAATATGGAACCACATAGAGGAAACATCATACTGATAAGGATACAATCCAAAGAACATTTAAATCCAGTTACTAAATGCTCTGTATGAGTGTTGTCTGCTAACTCTACACTCGCTCACAGGAATACTTTAGAAGGAGTAGGAGACTAATTGTAGAATGGACTTGTTATAACTATTAGACCAAGTCCAGGAGCTCTGCATTTGGTGTCTGGACCAATTCTACATTTGTTTCAAGTAATTTCAATCTTATTCACTTACATTAAAGTTCAAAATGAAATCTATCAATAGAAAAATCAAAGAAAAAAGACAACCTGAAAATTACACGGTCAGACGTGAACATAAAATGAAACTGTAAAAGTTGGAAGTAAATCTTTTCAATTTGAATAGTATGACTTTCAACTTTTTACAGCAGTACATATTGGTCACATCTCCCCAGAGACCACCTCTACCTATTCTAGCTATTCTTTAATATAAAAAGAAAAAAGGTATTGTTTTTTATTAATTAGCTTAGATTAAAATAAAGCTAAACTAAATGCATATGGGCAAAAAACATTCCCATAGAACATGTATATGTTCACTTTAGCACTTGATTGTGATAAAGTAATACGGAGTATCATCTATCGTATATTCGTATAACAAGTCTTAATATTAAATTAAAACATACTCCATATTAATTAATATAGTTGCATATGTGCGGAAACAAGGCATTTTGTTTATTATAAACATAGCTATAAAAGCTACTACCAAGCCCCAAAACTCACATCGAAGTGATGGAACATGGTCATTCGGTCACACCTAGAGGTAGGATCCAAATAAACCATGGAACAAGTATTACTACGTACTTACTATACGTCTATACTCCATATATTTCTCAACAACATGCTGCATACAGATTTCTTTGCCCACATATGATTACAAAATCGACATCATACACAAGTACGCAAGAAAAATTGAATCATACATTCATACACATCTAGCATGCACCAAAACAAGACACCAAAGAAGATAACCAAAAGTTTAAGCGTGTTTCTTCTTCATTTTGCAGATTTGCTGCCAAAACCTTGTTTCAGGAGACTCGGTACATATAATTCAGTGGCATGGTTTCAGAAACCCCAAATTGCTTTCATTCCACGAGGCTATACCTAACCATCCGTGTCGCATATAGGTTGAAATTCGCAATCAGATCCGATGAAAGGAAACTTTTCACGTTTTAAGCGGGCTTTAACCATAAAAAGGTATTTGAACCAAACACGACACTGCGACTTACTCATCAATACTAATAAAGGAACCAGAATTCAGGCTGTTTATATTCCTCAGAAAACAGAATAAAGGAACAAAGAAATAGGCGATCGTTGGAACTTAGAAGGAGGGGTTTACTATGTCCAGAGTAATAGATAGAGGGGAGGAAGAACTTACAGAGACGAAGCAAACGCGTAGAAGTCGTTATAAAAGATAGATAGATGAGCTCAACGAAAAAAATTCTGAAATCAATGTATATATACTCCCTGTACGTATTACTTAAACAATGAAAGTGTGCTATATAGGCAGTTGAAGAGGTTGAAAGCGTAGGCTGAAATGTCAAGTCCAAACATTGAAGTCAAAATTTTAGGGCCCGCTGACCAGTTAGACATTGTATGAGTTATCCAAACATTAAAGTCAAAATAGAAGGTCAACCGGACTATTGATTCAGTGTCACTTATAACCTCTCAAAAGTCTTATCGGATCAGACATGGAGCCTCTTGGGGGTGTGAATTCAAACTTTTTAAAGAATGAGTTATCCAAATAATTATTCTGAGGGAAAGTTCCTGAAATAGGACTAAAACAGTTTGAAAGTTTCAAAATAGGACTGACATGTTTTTTATTCCCAAAATATGAGTAATTACTGCCAAATTTGTTTAATACTGCAATTGAGTTTAATCCAACATAAATTAATAGATTTAGATATGAATATGTATGAGATGCTCTATTTTTTCGTGAAAACCCGAAAGGGAGAAAACCACGAGACTTTTTAGGCTAATGTCCAAGCCATCTCTTCCTCATTAATACCCACCTCACCATTTACGTAGTACAAGTATCTTGGAACTCCATTAATGGTGCTTTGTTGCTAAGCTCTAAGAAGAAGCAGGGAACAAGAAGAAGTAGTGGGGAGAAGAAGAGCCAAAAAGATCCCTCTAAATGGAAGCTTTACTTCCTATTTATAGACGACGGGGAGCCTTTCTACCCTGATGGGCCGGAAAGGCCTTAATGGGTCGAAATCGGCCGGGTAGGCCTAAATGGGCCCCGACAACTCGGCTCCATACCGGGGTGATGCCTTGGGCCTCTGAATAGTAGTAGGGCGGGATAATACTCCCCAACACAAGTTCCTCAGTTTCTTGAGTAGTGAGCCTGTGAATCTACTCGAGAAAGTATACTCTTGCTCACGTCCCTCCCTCCCTTCCCTGAATCGGTGTCTTCGAATAGTCTTGGACGCAAGACATGCATAAGTGATAGGTGAGGTGTAGTCTCTACACTAGGCACGACGGTGCTGAAGAACGAGCCGCTCATGCTACATAAAGCGGCGGTCTCGACCCTGAATGGCATGGGCGGACCTGACCGAGAAGAAGACAAGACGGCGCTGAAGAGCCAGCCGCTCGTGCTCCATAAGGCGGTGGTCCCGACCCTGAATGACATGGACAGACCCGACCGAGAAGAAGACACGACGACGCTGAAGAGTCAGTCGTTCGTGCTGCATAAGGCGGCGGTCCCAACCCTGAATGGCATGCGCGGACCCTGTGTTGTGATATTAGGGTCCGGCCCAACATACTGGCCCAGAATATCCCCGAGGCCCAAGGGCAGGGGAAAGCACATGTTAAAGTAGTGGGCTTCCGAACGGGATGTGGGGAAGCTAAGGAAGACACCTGCTCGGCACATCCCGAAGGGTCGTAGTTCACACTTGGATGACCAATATCCTTCTGAACTGATGGATCAGCGGGTCCTAATGTTGATCAAGAATCTGTACAAGTGGCAGACTGCATTTAATGCTGGAGCATGGGTGTCTCAAGTAGAAGCATGGGTGCACAAGTGGCATGGAAAGTAACCAATCACATTGGAGCACCCCATACCCCCACCTACCTACTTCTAGTATAAATAACAACATTTATTTCATTGTAAATGGTTAGCATTTGTTTACTCACTAGCTCATATAGCATTCTAGTTCTTGTATTAGCTTTCGAACTGCAACTGTCGTTCGGCCGTTTCATTGTAATCATACTTACTACGTTAATACAAGCGTAGCTTCTTGAGTGAGTTAATATGTTTTTGTATTTCTTTAAGCACTCGTTACTATACCAATTATACCCTAGATCCTAAGGTTGGTGTTGGACCTTCAGATCCATTTGGGACTAAGATTCAACATTGGCGCCGTCTGTGTGAATATTATCCCGGCCTACTACTGTTCAGAGGCCCAAGGCATCACCCAAGTATGGAGGCCAGGCGGCGGGACCCATTTAGGCCTACTCGGCCCATTTCGGCCCAATAAGGCCTTTCCGGCCCATTAGGGTAGAAAGGCTCCCTCCCCCTTCTATAAATAGGAAGCAAGGCTCTTCTTCTCCCCACTACTTCTTCTTCCCTGCTTCTTCTTAGAGCTTAGCAACAAAGCACCATTAATGGAGTCCCAAGATACTTTTACTCTGTAAATGGTGAGGAAGGTATTAGTGAGAAAGAGAGGGCTTGGACATTAGCCTTAAAAGTCCTGTGATTTTCTCCCTTTCGGGTTTCCACGTAAAAATAGAGCATCTCATACATATTCATATCTATATCTATTAATTTATATTGGATTAAACTCAACAACTAGTATGAAATTTGAGCATTTAAAGGTTTAGGATTACAAAAAGGCTCCAAGGCCGTCGCTTTCATTTTTAATTAAACTCCTAAACATCATTTTAAGTTGATATATTATCGTCTAGAGGAGTTCATGGGCGTAAAAGTGTGAAGTAGAATGTGTTTTTAGAAATTTCCAAGAGTAATATTAAGGGGATTCACTTATGCAAGATTTCCCCATAATTTTGTATGTACGAACACTACTAGAAAATGGATGCCACGAAAGATGCATTTGCTAGTGAACGAGTCTATTATGTTCCGCGAGGAAATGGTGAATCGTATATTATTTAAAATTTCAACATAATCATATACATGGACTTATATTTTATTATGATTTGAGGACTATCAAAGGTGTAGAGTATAATACATATCGAGAAGCTTGCTACTCTTTAGGATTGTTGAATGATGATAATTCTTAAGTTATATATTGACAGAATTTCGGAAGCAAGAAATTGGACCTCTATTGTTTCTTTGAGGATCACTAATCAGGAAAGGCTATGTTTGAAAAAATGTTGGAAATGTTTGAAAGAAGACATACAGTATAAACACCGCTTGATTTTTCAACACAGGTAACAGATATGCAATTTTTAAATAAATCATGAATATAAAAGAATTTATTAATTAAAAAATTTCACAAATTTGTAAATTTGTTTAGAAGTATGTATAAAATGATGACCATTTTCAAAATTTTACCTTAATTAAAGTAAAGCATTTGTTGTAAACTCGTGGTAAGAGTTTATGTTACTACCAACCAATGTATGTTCCTCCCACACATTCTATATCATACACTTACAATAGCTAGACTTATTCATTAAAAATTGTCATATGATCATGGTGCTTTGTTTGAAGAACAATAGTCTTTGTTCAGAAACTTAACCGGTGAACAATGTCAAATTTATGATCTTGACATAAAGGCGGTCGAAAAAATGAGGTGTATTTTTGTATATGAGTATGGTGGTACAGGAAAACTGTTTGTTTGGAGGTCAGTTTTTGGTGCTATTTATTCTAAAGGTGAAATTGCTCTTAACGTGGCTTCAATTGGCATCTCTTCGTTATTACTACCAAGAGGATGCACAACACATTCACATTTCAAAATTCCAATTTCCTTGAGGGGGGATTCGATGTGCAACATCAAGTAAGGTAATTCCCTTGCATATTTGGTTGAAAAGTCTAAATCCATCCTTTGGGATGAAACTCTAGTGCTCCACAAATACTACTTCAAGACTCGCATGAGTGTATTTTTCATTACAATATTTTTTGTACCTTTTTTATATTATATTTATTGATTGAAAGAATCATTAATAGATTTAGAGTGTAATAATTACAAACATACCCCAAATGATTTATATAAAATTATTACTTTCGGTGAGAATTAGTAAGAAAAATATATCCATATTTTATACATTAATCGTGTATTCTTTATATGAATAACAGAATAATGTTAAGTAACGCTAAAATATATTATGTCGTTGGAGTTGAGATTTAAATGATTAGTATTAATACAAAATGTGTTGATTATAAATAAAGTGTGTAGAATCATTATATTTGATTAGTACTTAGTGTTAAATTGTTTTTAATGATATAATTTTATTAATAAATAAATTGGAGATGGAAAATAACAACTAACAAGTTGAGAGTCATGAGTAGTGAATAGAATTATCCATAAGAATAAGAAAATATTACCCGAAATAGGACTAAAAAAGTTTGAAAATTCCAAAATAGGATTGTCATGTTTTTATTCTCAAAATATGACTAATTACTGTCATGTTTTGGTAGTACCAGACTTCAAACATGGCAGTTGTTGGGGAATACTATCCCAGCCTACTACTCTTCAGAGGCCCAAGGCATCACCCCGGTATGAAGCCCAGTCGGCGGGGCCCATTAAGGCCTACCCTGCCCATTTCGGCCCATTTCAGCCTTTCTGGCCCATTAGGGTAGAAAGGCTCCCCCTCTTCTATAAATAGGAAGCAAGGCTTCCATTTAGAGGGATCTTTTTGGCTCTTCTTTTCCCCACCACTTCTTCTTCTTCCCTGCTTCTTCTTAGAGCTTAGCAACAAAGCACCATTAATGGAGTTCCAAGATACTTGTACTATGTAAATGGTGAGGAGGGTATCAATGAGAAAGAGAGAGCTTGGACATTAGCCTAAAAAGTCCCGTGGTTTTCTCCCTTTTGGGTTTCCACGTAAAAATAGAGCATCTCATACATATTCATATCTATATCTTTTAATTTATATTGGATTAAACTCGACACTAGTATTATCCAAATATGGAGTTTTTGAAGGATAACAAATTAGTTAACAACTTTAGCCTAATTTAAAATGAATACAATTTCAAACTATTTTAAAAATATTTGAATATGTCTTACATTTGAAATGATTTTAATTATAATTACCCCATAGTTCTCATCTTTCAAATTTGAACCTCTTAATAAAAAGAGCTCCCTTAACTTCACTTCCATAAATGGAAAAGCAGGGCATTTTTACTGCATAATTCCTTCACTTTATTTCCTTTGTTTTGTTGCTAATCTGCACAAAACTCTATTCTTGATTCCAGATGCAACAACACTTGGTATCAGAGACATTGGTGTGAGATCCAAGACGCTATAATTTTTCGGTGTTTGATCTATTGTGGCAAATGGCAAGAAGGGGTGTAGAATGGCCAAAACTTAGTGGAGGTAGTGGAGCGAGTAATCCAAGAAAGTGATAGAG